GCTGGCGTTGAGGGCCTCCGCGTAGATGGGGATAGCATCACGGAACACCGCCTCTGAGCAGGAGATGCTTGCCAGTCGGTTGTTAATTCCAGCTGGGATGTTCTTAAGGACTTGCGGTGGGTGATTGGAGTTGACGTTGACATACAGTGGGGTGTCGTTGGGTTTTCGGTACGGTTGGTAGGTTCCTGTGGAGAGGCTCATTGTGATGTCTAGGTAGTTAACAGCGTTCAGGTTGACGTCTATCGTGATTTTTAGCCCCAGCGTCTTGAAGGTGTCGATGACAGCTTTCCTTACTTTGTCCGCACTGTGGCCAGTGGCGTTACGGAGGACGGCAAGCCCGTCGTCTCTGTAGAGGCCTACCGAGCCGCTACTGAAGTGCTGTTCGAGTTTACCCAGGAGGAAGGCGCCGACCAGCTCACATGCTTCAGCGCCATCGAAGGATCCCATGGTAACATCGAACAGCCCGTCTCTGTTTTTCTTTGCCCATGTTCGGTTAGCTCCGAATAGCAGTGACTGCCTCGCGTGTAGTATTATGTCGGCGTCACAGTCAGGAATTGCCACGAACTGCTTAGCGTAGGCGAGGGCTAGGCTCAGCAAGTTTTCGGAAATAGATGGATAGAAATCCACTATATCGAACATCACGAACGTGTGGCTAGCCTTCTCCTCGATTGCGCTGAACCAGTTTATGACGGAGGATGTGTTTTTCCATAGGTTGATGTTGGGTTTGTCCCGCAGCGCTTCCACTATGCCGCTCAGTATCTTTCTGCTGATAACGCCTATCTCCGGCTTCGCAGGGTTAATTAGGCGGCATGGTATGTTCCGGGGGAAGTTTTCTTTGTGGTCCTTGATGGTGACGAAAGCTTCTGCCTTTGCCATGGTGTCGATGCGGTCCTCCAGGCCCTTATCAGCAGCGATTTTCCTGGCCTCGTCGTTGATGGTGTCGTAGGAGCCTTCTGATGTTCGATATAGTGGATTTCTATCCATCTATTTCCGAAAACTTGCTGAGCCTAGCCCTCGCCTACGCTAAGCAGTTCGTGGCAATTCCTGACTGTGACGCCGACATAATACTACACGCGAGGCAGTCACTGCTATTCGGAGCTAACCGAACATGGGCAAAGAAAAACAGAGACGGGCTGTTCGATGTTACCATGGGATCCTTCGATGGCGCTGAAGCATGTGAGCTGGTCGGCGCCTTCCTCCTGGGTAAACTCGAACAGCACTTCAGTAGCGGAAATAGATGGATAGAAATCCACTATATCGAACATCACGAACGTGTGGCTAGCCTTCTCCTCGATTGCGCTGAACCAGTTTATGACGGAGGATGTGTTTTTCCATAGGTTGATGTTGGGTTTGTCCCGCAGCGCTTCCACTATGCCGCTCAGTATCTTTCTGCTGATAACGCCTATCTCCGGCTTCGCAGGGTTAATTAGGCGGCATGGTATGTTCCGGGGGAAGTTTTCTTTGTGGTCCTTGATGGTGACGAAAGCTTCTGCCTTTGCCATGGTGTCGATGCGGTCCTCCAGGCCCTTATCAGCAGCGATTTTCCTGGCCTCGTCGTTGATGGTGTCGTAGGAGCCTTCTGATGTTCGATATAGTGGATTTCTATCCATCTATTTCCGAAAACTTGCTGAGCCTAGCCCTCGCCTACGCTAAGCAGTTCGTGGCAATTCCTGACTGTGACGCCGACATAATACTACACGCGAGGCAGTCACTGCTATTCGGAGCTAACCGAACATGGGCAAAGAAAAACAGAGACGGGCTGTTCGATGTTACCATGGGATCCTTCGATGGCTCTGAAGCATGTGAGCTGGTCGGCGCCTTCCTCCTGGGTAAACTCGAACAGCACTTCAGTAGCGGCTCGGTAGGCCTCTACAGAGACGACGGGCTTGCCGTCCTCCGTAACGCCACTGGCCACAGTGCGGACAAAGTAAGGAAAGCTGTCATCGACACCTTCAAGACGCTGGGGCTAAAAATCACGATAGACGTCAACCTGAACGCTGTTAACTACCTAGACATCACAATGAGCCTCTCCACAGGAACCTACCAACCGTACCGAAAACCCAACGACACCCCACTGTATGTCAACGTCAACTCCAATCACCCACCGCAAGTCCTTAAGAACATCCCAGCTGGAATTAACAACCGACTGGCAAGCATCTCCTGCTCAGAGGCGGTGTTCCGTGATGCTATCCCCATCTACGCGGAGGCCCTCAACGCCAGCGGCCACCCTAGCACGCTAGAGTTCAAACAGAAAACAAGCAAAAAGAAGAAAAGGAAGAGGAAGGTGATTTGGTACAACCCGCCCTACAGCCGTAATGTGAAAACAAACATCGGTGGAAGATTCCTCGCGCTCATTAAGAAGCACTTCCCCCCGCAGTCGAAGCTCGGAAAAATATTCACAAAAAACACCATCAAGATAAGCTACAGTTGCATGCCAAATATGGCTGCACGCATCAAAAGCCACAACAAAGCGGTCCTCTGCCCGCAAACGAAAAAACCGGAAAAGCCCTGCAACTGCCGAGACAAGCCATCTTGTCCACTCAACGGTGAATGCCAAACGACGGAGCTGATATATGTGGCATCCATAACGTCAGGCCCCACCAAAAAGGAATACACCGGTATGTCGGCGCCACCATTCAAGTCACGCCATGCCAACCACATGACTACAACAAGATACGAGAAGTACTCCAGCTGCACTGAGTTCTCCAACTACATCTGGAAGCTGAAGAAATCCAACGCCCAATATGAAGTCGAATGGAGGATAAAAGATCGCGCCCAGGCATACTCCAACATCACGAAGCGGTGTTCCCTCTGTACCAGAGAAAAGTATCACATCCTGAACACGCTAGGGTCACCGTCCAGCCTCAACAAGCGCTCCGAAATGGTGTCCAAGTGCCGACACGAGAACAAGTATCTCCTAAAAAACCACGGTGTCACCTAAACATGTCTCCACAGCCTCCTGCCCACACCATTCACGTTCACACACCTTGCTCATAACACCCTGCCCACACCAGACATATCCATTTACATTGCGCTATTATCACACTGCTAGCTCTACAGCCTCCTGCCTACAACATCCACACGCATTGTTCACCACCTCCTGCCCACACCAGCCACACACTTCGCGCTCACACTGCACTGCTAGCCCCTGCCTTCAACAACCACACACTCTGCACACAGCCCCCTGCCTAAAACATCACCGCTACTGCGCTAGCCCCCACAGCCTCACACAGCTTTTTATACCACCCTCTCCTGGCATATATACCGGCATGGTCGGCACCCGATCTTCATGTTGCCTGATGATTGCGTAAGCATGAAACTTAAAGTAGCAGCAAACAAGCCTTGATTGTCCTTGTTGTTCTGTTGTGTAAAAAAAATTTAAAAAATGTTTCAACCACTATAGGCCTCTCAAGTGTCCGCAAGCTTGCATAAAATGTGTGTTTTTCAACACCATACCAGAAACGTGTGTTCTTCAACACCATACATACCATAACCGTAACTATACGAGACAACAGCAGCGTGGCGCCCGGCTATGAGACAACAGCAGCGTGGCGCCCGGCTATGTGACAACAGCCCAGTATGGTGGTGAATGAGATCACGGAGTGAATGCCCCAGAGGCCTCTCGTGTGACTACTTGCACTACTGTGGTAGAGTGCTATGTCGGAACTGTCACCCTTATTTTCAGTTGATGTATACTACATTTCAGAGTACTAGAATCTGTTGTGCAAGTATCAATGATGTCCTCAGACTCATTACACTTATGGCGCGTAGCAGTGTCATTTTGCACCATTTTCTCCGCGTTTTAGCACATAGCATGTCTGTTATCTAGTACCTCTATGCCAAAGAGGATCGCGCTTCTTCATAGCATTCTATGTACATGTATAAAACCGTGTTTTCAAAGTAATTCTAGCCATTCATTATTCTCAACCTTCACTGATGAGACTTATAGTGGTCGAAACAGCGCCGTCGGAGGAAAAACTATTTGCGAGTATCTACAACTTGAAGTCAAGAGGTACACAAAAGGAAGTAGAATAGGGCTGTTTTCGTTGTTACTCAGAATGTCATGGTAACAACCAATCATCAGGGCATTTGAGCACTATTGCAGGTTAAGGCGCACTGCCTCTGTGTACAACTTGGTGTCATATTGCTGGTGTGTGAGGTCGGCCAACGAGCACGATTGGTGGAGGTGGAATTACTTTATTCCCGTAGCTATGCAGAAGACGTTACTTCAGTAACGTCTGGCGCTAGCCAGGGTCCACACAGCTTTAATTTGGTGTTTGTGTGTTTGTGTCACGCCTGGCGCTATCCCGTATCTGTCCCGTACCGTACCGTACCATCAAACACAGCTGGCCACATACAGCTGGCCGCACTATTCAAATAGGGCTTTCAAACGCAAGATCATAACGTGAAGCAACTTGGAAGAATGAGTATGAATGCGAAGTGTATGGGGGAATGCATGTAGGGCGATAGTGCGGGTTCGAATCCCAGGTAATGCCTGAAAAAATAGGAAAATTGAAAAATTTATAACATCCCTATTCTTTTTTTGTCGTCATCAAGGCGGTAGTTGGTGTCGTATTACCCTCAACCGTACCTGTCCCGTACCTGTCCCGTCCCGTACCGTACAATCAAAGACGGCTGGCCACAATGCATATTCAAATAGGGCTTTCAAATGCAAGATCACAACGTGGAGCAACTTGGAAGAATTAGTATGTATGCGAAGTGTATCGGGGGATGCATGCAGGGCGATAGTGCGGGTTCGAATCCCAGGTTATGTCTTAAAAAAAGGAGAAATTTATAAGAATAAATAAGTAACATCTCTATGCTTTTTTGTTTAGGTCATCAAGGCAAAAAAGCATAGCATAGGGTCCTGAGCTTCCAAGCTCTCTCGTTGCTGGTATTGTTGTCGGCCGTGTTGCTGCTCTCATGATCAGAGTGAATGTTGAAGTAATATGATGAATAAAACATGCACACTCATTTCCTGTACCTATTTGTTACTCCAGATCCGGAATATTTCGCAAGCATCTCGAAGTACTGCAATGTGATCTAGTCCACAGATCACTGGTGGATGGGAATAACTTTTGAAAGGTAAACTGGGTATGCCCACTGCTTCTACACCGCTGTTGCAGCTGCTGCGGTTGTTGCTGATGTTGCTGCTATAGCTGATCCAAAAGCTGTAGATACTGGTGTGTTGTCGGTGCTACAGTCGCTACTAGTGTTGAAGCTTTTGTTTGTTATGGTGTTGTTGGTGGTGTTGTCGCTGCCGATGCTGTTGAAACGATTTTTGCTGCATGCTGGTGTTAACGGTGGTTTTGTCGCTGTTACTGTTGAACCTGTTAACTTAATGCAGGTCATGGTGTAGATGCATTGTTGCTTGTGATAGTGTTGATACTATCATGCTCAGAGTATCTTGAAGTATATGATTGCTAACACATGCGCATTCATTTTCTGTTACTGTTATTTTGATTCAGATCTGGAATATTTCACAATCGTCTCGTACAGTATGACTAATTCAATGGATCACTGGAAGACAGGTATTTCTTTTGAAAGGTAAACTGGTCATGCCCACTGCTGATGCGCCTCTGTTGTACCTCTTGTGGTTGTTGCTGATGTTGCTGCTGTTGCTGTTTCGAATCCTGTTGATACTGTGGGTGCTTATGGTGCTAGAGCTTCTACTGGTGTTGATGTTTTGTTGTTGCCCATTTTCTCGATGCTGCTGTTGCTGCGGAAACTGTTAATGGTGTTACTTTTGCGGATGGTTTTGATGCTGTAATTACTTCTGATGAAGTTGTTACTGTTAACCCTTTGCGGGCGGATGACGTGTACACACGCGCCTGAACCACATGCCAGTTCTCTGATGACGTGTACACACGCGCCTGAACCACATGCTGGTTCTCTGATGACGTGTACACACGCGCCTGAACCACATGCCGGTTCTCTGATGACGTGTACACACGCGCCTGAACCACATGCCGGTTCTCTGATGACGTGTACACACGCGCCTGAACCACATGCCGGTTCTCTGATGACGTGTACACACGCGCCTGAACCACATGCCGGTTCTCTGATGACGTGTACACACGCGCCTGAACCACATGCCAGTTCTCTGATGACGTGTATACACTCACTTGGGTTTGCATCGTGTATCGCGGTGAATAGATCAGTGTACAAACTTTTGGTACTCGGCACTCTGTAAAAGAGCATCCAATCTCCACAAACGACACACCGTTGGAAACATCTTGAGCTCAGCTTTCCCAGGTTAAAACGTTCTTCACGATAGGGTACAGACTGAGTGAGTGGTTACAAATTGAACACGGAAATCACTTCCTGGAGCGACCGCGATTTTTTTGTTCGTGACTTCGCAGTTGTTTGGATCATTCCAGGGGATTTCCCTTTTGCACAACGCATGCGTTATGGACATCAAAAGAAGTGCGTGGATCTCAGCTTTGCAGAGCAGTTTGAATAATAAAAATAGGTTGAATTTGAGCAAGGAGCCATAAATCACGTGTGACTGAGTTGTTGTTTCGTTCCGAGGGATGGTGGGCCAGTTTGGAGAGGTCGTGGATGTCGCTCTGGTGGGCCTATGGAGCTGAGAGCTTCCAGGATGGATTTGCTTGGTCCTGATCTTTTCAACATGCCCAGGATGATGAAATTCCATCCAGGTGAACTGAAATGATAATAAATTTCGCAGTGCGCCCAAACTCCACCAGGAGAGTTCGTGCGCTGGAGCGCCAGAGTATTGGGGGAAACGGGCCAGCATGCAAAGGGTTAAAGTTGCTGATCGTTGTGATGGTACTGCTGCTGCCGTTGGTGTTGATACTGATAATGCAGGCGATGGTGTTGATACTGATAATGCAGGCGATGGTGTTGATACTGATAATGCAGGCGATGGTGTTGATGCTGATAATGCAGGTGATGGTGTTGATACTGATAATGCAGGCGATGGTGTTGATACTGATAATGCAGGCGATGGTGTTGATACTGATAATGCAGGTGATGGTGTTGATACTGATAATGCAGGCGATGGTGTTGATGCTGATAATGCAGGTGATGGTGTTGATACTGATAATGCAGGCGATGGTGTTGATACTGATAATGCAGGCGATGGTGTTGATACTGATAATGCAGGTGATGGTGTTGATGCTGATAATGCAGGCGATGGTGTTGATACTGATAATGCAGGCGATGGTGTTGATACTGATAATGCAGGTGATGGTGTTGATGCTGATAATGCAGGCGATGGTGTTGATGCTGATAATGCAGGTGATGGTGTTGATGCTGATAATGCAGGTGATGGTGTTGATACTGATAATGCAGGTGATGGTGTTGATACTGATAATGCAGGTGATGGTGTTGATACTGATAATGCAGGTGATGGTGTTGATGCTGATAATGCAGGTGATGGTGTTGATACTGATAATGCAGGTGATGGTGTTGATGCTGATAATGCAGGTGATGGTGTTGATACTGATAATGCAGGTGATGGTGTTGATGCTGATAATGCAGGTGATGGTGTTGATACTGCTGTTGCCACCGAAACTGTTGATACTGCTGTTACTGTTAGTGCCGGTAGTTTTGAGGCTGTTTGTGCTGTTTCTGGTGCCATTGATGCTGTTTTTGCTACTGGTGCCATTGATGCTGTTTTTGCTACTGATGGTGTTGATGCTGTTTTTCACACTGCTGGTGTCTGTACAGTCATTGATGCCGATGGTGTTGATGTTGTTGTGCCTGCCGATAGTTTTGATGCTGTTGTAAAATGCTGCTGATCAAAATCTGATCGAGTGAATCAAGTTTACTCTCAACACCAGTCAACAGTCTAGTGCTCGCAGGTCTAGAATTGCACCCCCCCCCCCCCCACCATCTGCTGCACTCAGGTGATCGGATTTCATTGAGCAGCGCTGTAGCGGAGGAGGGTGTTGATTGTGTTATTGGTAACGATTGTGTTGCTGTCCCCAGCCTCTGCAGGGACAGCAGCAACAGCAGGAAGAAAAAGAATGCGGCTGCTTTAGGGATGACCACCCCACTCCTGCCGAACCTGGATGGGATGCCCCCCCCCCGAAAGGGCCGCTGCATGGTCACGGACTGCACGGCCACATTCAGTCTCTTGCTCTTTTCGGCGGTCACAATGCTGAGGATTCCCCTCCCTCCACAAATTTGTTTGCCACCTCTACCCCATGGCTATCGGCGACTCTTGCCTGTCATCTAAAATGTTACCACCTTTCTTCAGTTCTTTTGTCGCGCTTCTCAGCTGGTCTGACTTCAGTGCCCTCCGCACTTTCTCCAGGTGCTCCTGGAGCCGGGCGTTAACCGCATGCTGGTGCTCAAACGCCACGTTCCTCCATTTGCTGGGCCCTGTTGAAGTGGCACGAGAGCGATGGCAATGACGGCGAGCCTTCTTGCCGGAACTTTGTGATTTTTTAAATTTTTTGGATCTGGATCTCCGGCTCCTGGGGCTGGGTGACCGCGATGAACTACTGCTGGCACTTGACGATGATCGGGATGATGACGACGACGATGACGACGATGATGACGGAGAACGTCTCCGTCTGCGACCTCTGCCACGTGGGGATTCCGGGGCCCTGGCCCTTTCGAGCTCGATTTGGGCCTCGAGCAGCCTGATACGAGTTGCCTGATCCTCCAGGCGTGCCGCAGCCACACATGGACTTCATTCGCGTTCTGCTGCGCGTCAGCCTGCAGTCGTGCCGGTTCTGCGCTTGCAGCACGATGGGTCCTTTTACGGGGAGGCATGTTCCTAAAAGGATCTTGAAAGTTCGTTGAAAAACGGGATCGGAAAAGACACTACACTTGCAAAGCAAGAAGAAAAATAATGACGCAGCCGGAGCGCATGCTCCTAATATCTCGCATTTGCGAGCAGCAAATGTTACGTCATGCAAAAGAAAGACAAAAAAGAACTACATTTCTCGTTTCTTTCCTACGTCAGCCAGCGAGAAATGAGGCATTGATTGTGTTAAAGGGGAAGTATACCCTAAAATCAAATTTTCACCAGTTGTAGTCTTCTGGGTGCCGAGTCGAATGGTCTTGGTCCGAGGAAGCTGCGACGCTCCCTTCCTTCTTTTTTCCCGATCGAACCCGCGCACTTCCACCGAAACTGCGTGACTGCGCCCTACTAGATGGGGATTTGTATGCAAAATCTCACTAAAAGTGCTATGTCGTTCTTATAAAAGCACGGATGACCGCGATTGGCCCATATGTTGTAGTCTTTTGGACGCTGAGTCGACTGGTTTTGGTCCGAAAAGGCTGCGATGCAGCGTTCCTCCTTTATTCCCAATCGAACAAGGTTGAAGAAGCGGTCACGTGCTCCTGATTGCCCAAATCACCTGGTCACCGCGCCAGCAGGCGACAACTTTCACACCAAGGTTCAACTCGAGTGACAGGACTGCACCCAAAAAAGGTCAAACAGGCTAGTAAGTTGTACCCTGCAGGCACGGTGACCAGGTGACTGGTGTACGCAGGAGCACGTGACCGCTTGTTCAACCATGTTCGATTGGGAATAAAGGAGGAACGCTGCATCGCAGCCTTTTCGGACCAAAACCAGTCGACTCAGCATCCAAAAGACTACAACATATGGGCCAATGGCGGTCATCCGTGCTTTTATAAGAACGAAATGGCGCTTTTAGTGACATTTTGCATACAAATCCCCATCTAGTAGGGCGCAGTCACCCAGTTTCTGTGGAAGTGCGTGAGTTCGATTGGGAATAAAGGAGGAAGGGAGCGTCCCAGCTTCCTCGGACCAAGACCATTCGACTCAGCACCCCAAAGACTACAACTGGTTAAAATTTGATTTTAGGGTATACTTCCCCTTTAATTGTGTTATTGGTAGCGGTTGTGTTGATTGTGTTGTTGGCAACGATCGTGTTGATTGTGTTTTGGTAACGGTTGTGTTGCTTGTGTTGTTGGCAACGATTGTGTTATTGGTGTTGAGTGCGAAAAAGGACGACTGACGACATCTTCTCCAGACATTACAACGGACAACGGGAACAAGTTAGTGGGAACGACATTTATTATAGACGACGAGACAAGAGACAAAGACGAACGAAACGACTACATTGAAGAGTGAGAAAGAGAGCAAGAGATCAAGTCTGAACGGCAAGATAAAGGGCCTGGTTAGCTATGGCAATCATGGGCGCGCAAGTAGCTACCCAGGCCAATGGAACAAAAGGTGAGTACATGAGTGCATGCAGGCCAGCTAGAAAAGGTACGGGAGGAATCTGAATCCTGTCCCTATAAGGCATGTGATAGATGTATTATAGACCTGGTACGGTAAGCATACCGTACTGGATATCTGCCCTCACGGCAGGCGCCGTTCAGGCAGATATCGGATGGTATTGCCCTTGTAATCGGTCAATAATACGTACCTATTGCCCTCGGCAGGAGAGGTGCTGATTCCCTGGGTTACGGACAACAATTTCGTGCCATGTAATAAATGATAGCTGGCACATGCACACTCATTTGCTGTACTTGTCTATTGATTCAGATCTGGAATATTGCACAAGCGTCTCGTACAGTATGACTAAGTCAATGGATCACTGGAGTACAGGGATTTCTTTTGAAAGGTAAACTGGTCATGCCCACTGCTGATGCACCTCTGTTGTAGCTCTTGTGGTTGTTGCTAATGTTACTGCTGTTGTTGATGGCAACAGTTTGTAGCTCTTATGGTTGTTGCTGATGTTACTGCTGTTGTTGATGGCAACAGTTTGTAGCTCTTATGGTTGCTGCTGATGTTACGGCTGTTGTTTATGGCAACAGTTTGTAGCTCTTGTGGTTGTTGCTAATGTTACTGCTGTTGTTTATGGCAACAGTTTGTAGCTCTTGTGGTTGTTGCTGATGTTACTGCTGTTGTTTATGGCAACAGTTTGTAGCTCTTGTGGTTGTTGCTAATGTTACTGCTGTTGGTTATGGCAATAGTTTGTAGCTCTTCTGGTTATTGCTAATGTACTGCTGTTGTTTATGGCTACAGTTTGTAGCTCTTGTGGTTGTTGCTAATGTTGCTGCTGTTGTTTACGGCAACAGTTTGTGGCTCTTGTGGTTGTTGCTAATGTTGCTGCTGTTGTTTATGGCAACAGTTTGTAGCTCTTGTGGTTGTTGCTAATGTTACTGCTGTTGTTGATGGCAACAGTTTGTAGCTCTTGTGGTTGTTGCTAATGCTGTTGTTTATGGCAACAGTTTGTAGCTCTTGTGGTTGTTGCTGATGTTACTGCTGTTGTTTATGGCAACAGTTTGTAGCTCTTATGGTTGTTGCTGATGTTACGGCTGTTGTTTATGGCAACAGTTTGTAGCTCTTGTGGTTGTTGCTGATGTTACTGCTGTTGTTTATGGCAACAGTTTGTAGCTCTTGTGGTTGTTGCTGATGTTACTGCTGTTGTTGATGGCAACAGTTTGTAGCTCTTATGGTTGTTGCTGATGTTACGGCTGTTGTTTATGGCAACAGTTTGTAGCTCTTGTGGTTGTTGCTGATGTTACTGCTGTTGTTTATGGCAACAGTTTGTAGCTCTTGTGGTTGTTGCTAATGTTACTGCTGTTGTTTACGGCAACAGTTTGTAGCTCTTGTGGTTGTTGCTGAAGTTACTGCTGTTGTTTATGGCAACAGTTTGTAGCTCTTGTGGTTGTTGCTGATGTTACTGCTGTTGTTTATGGCTACAGTTTGTAGCTCTTGTGGTTATTGCTGATGTTACGGCTGTTGTTTATGGCAACAGTTTGTAGATGCTGGTGATGCTGCATGTGTTACCGTCGCCATGCGGTTGCTGCCGATGGATTCTATTGGTTTTACTGGCGGTGTTGTAGCGGCTGTTGATGGCTGTGCTGTTGATGCTGCCGATGTTGTTGATGCCTACGCTATTGTTCCTGTATGTGTGTGCGTGCGTGCGTGTGTGCGTGCGTGCGTGTGTTTGTGTGCATTCATGCGCGAGTGCATGCGTGTGTGTGTATGTGTGTGTGTGTATGTGTGTGTGTGTGTGCGTGTGTGTGTGTGTGTGTATGTGTGTGTGTGTGTGTGCGTGTGTGTGTGTGTGTGTATGTGTGTGTGTGTGGGTGTGTGTGTGTGTGTGTGTGGGTGTGTGTGTGTGTGGGCTTGCGTGTGTGTATGATTCGATATGGTCTGCTGCATAGCGTGAGATTCCTCTTCAGAACAACCTTGTCTTCCGCAGTCCATTTCCTCTACTCACAACACCAGTTCAAGTATGTCAAGTAGTCAAGAACACCACTAGAAGCTGGAGCAGAAAGTTGCCGTGAGTTGTGCTGTATCCGTATTGCAAACACTCTGTCTGGAACATTACGGTATAAAAATGGTTGTAGAATAATCAAGTAGAGTGGAGTGCTGAGGAAGCTGACCATTGTTGATTTTGAAAGCTGGCTTTGCTCCTTGTAATTGTTGAGCTATTCTATGAAAAACATCGATTTAATGCTTCGAAGTGTTTGTTTCCTATTTTGCAATTTTGCTCCGAGTTTTCGGTCAGGTCAATCATCAGACAACTTAACGCGTGGCAACTTTGCTTTGTAGTGTTTTCATGAGATGAAAATACGGCTGCAGGTATAGAGCTTTCGTCTACATGTAGTTACTGACAAAGATCAATCTTAGCTAGATTCATAAGGTTTAGCTAGATACTAGAATTTCTGCCCTCTCATGATTTAATCCGCGGCGCATTTTGCTAATACTTGCAGTGCTTGTTTCTGTATACCTTACTACAAGTACACCTCGCTCAAACTCAGTGCTGCTGCTGCTCTGCTATGTATTTGTAAACGTTTCACATGCGTTTCAGTTTGTGGGCAATACTATTGTATCACTAGACTTTGGTATATGCATTGATTTTGTTCATGACTGACTCCATAACAACGTTAGTATGGACTATATTCAGATACATGTACATGTACACTTTGATTGCCTCTCTCTGACCCAACACGTTGGAGTTGTTGCTTGTAGCAAGGTTTGAGTCTAATGAATGGGCTGTATGTAGTAGATTGGCTGAAACAACTGACAAAAGGTTACAGACTCGGAAAAAGCCGGAAAATTAATTTTGTTGCCTAATATAGAATGTTTGTAAGGAAAAAGTCCAAATGTGGCATGAATTTCTGCGGTTACCATGGTAACAAGCCCATTTTTTCCATTTATTTGCCGGTTGCCATGGCAACAAGCCCTTTTTTCGGCTGAAATTGGCCGTTGCTATGGCAACCATACATATCTGCCCGTTGCCATGACGACCATACATATTTGCCCGTTACCATGACGACCATACATATTGCCATGGCAACCATACATATTTTTTAAACAGCAACGTTTGCTTGCCACCATATATAGCTTGCTACACCCCTCCCAGCCTGGCCATAGCAGCTGCCAGCTCCCCTACAGGTACCAGATAGGCTACTGCTACACATGGCAGGTTTCCATAGAAACTTGTACCGAATAATAATTTTGAAGTGGATGATTATTATGATGAAAAAGGATAAAGTTATGACTGTTAAGAAGAAAATTGACAGGGTAGAATACAGGAAATATATGTGATAAGCATTAGAAAAAAGGAAATTTTATTAAGCTTTCGTGAACTGCCGCAGAGCAAAGGAAATATTGAATTTAGTGAAGTGAGAAACTTTAAAAAAAATTCAGCAATAGGATATAGGATATAAGTATTAGTTGAAAAGGAAGCAACATGATCATCGACTTAATCATAGAAGAAACACATGCAGGAAAGATGTAATTTGAAGTAAGTTAACAAAGTGGATGGGTAGGTGAGGCAAACCCATAGATACCGGAAACGAGACCACTTAGAGTAGAATTGAACAGGATCATAAAATCAGACAACCTTATTCAACATGGTCCTTGGAAAATTCAAGATGGATAGTACTAAACTAAGGAGAAGAAGAGTGAAGTGGACCAGGGCAATACATTGTTCCAGAATACCAGATGCAGTGATGCCTATGCCATCTACCATTTCCTGAACATTATAATACATAATTTGTCAGCATAGAGATTGAAGGTGATTGAAACCATTACACCATTGCTTCTGTGAACGCTTGTAAGCAATAGTTTGCGGCGATCGATAGCTGCACTGACACACTTCATCTGTTCAAGGCGCCTCACTACTGGCCATAGCCAGGAATGGATAATCGTGGTACTTGTTCAGCCATTCCTATGAATTATCAACGCTAGCGCTTAGCTGCTCATGCCGAATAACACCAGGCACAAGTTGATCCTTGCTGTGTTTTCGGTGTGCTCATGTGGACGTCACTTGGAGGGTAACCCAACATACATCTCCTGATGAGGCTGAGTATAGAAACTATCAACTGCTTTCACTGCGGACGTGCCATTGACTACACGCACACACACACACACACACACACGCACACACACACACACACACACACACACACACACGCACACACGCACACACGCACACACACACGCATGCACACACCACACACACACACACCACACACGCACACATGCACACACACACGCACACACACACACACACACAAACACCGAGCACATTGAGAGTACAGTCATAAATAAAGTAATAATTTTAGTTCACTTACACGCACACTAAACATGCAGTACTCCCTCGTTATAACGGGTATGGTTAGAACATAAGCACCGTTAGTAAATAGAATCCCTTGGCGAAACTGCTCTGTACAACTGTTTGCAGGTCAGGCTACAACATAGTTTGGTAGTCCATAAAATTCGTTACAACAATTGAATTGGCCCTTGCTCCTGGACTGCCAAACCCTCATTATAAGATAATATTGAGCATGCACGACCAAGGTCCAAATACGCATAATACGCATAGGATAAAGCAGAAAGGCACAAAATATTATTATGCTATCTACATTATGCTATCTACATTATGCTATATCTACATTATGCTATCTACATTGTACTTTTAAAGTATGTATTTGTAGAGGTGGACGGTTTTTTGCATCTAAGGAACAGCAGTGTTGGAGATTTTCAATTATCTTATAACGAGTTGAAGTGCCGATAAATACATGTTGTACACTGTACTGAGGGCACCCCAAATCCTGCTTCTTATAATTATATATTTAGTTGCAAGTCCTGTTACAAGATTAATCTTGTTTAAAAGAATTCTTTGTTGATGGCCGAGAGATTTTCTACTAACGAGGGAGGACCTGCGCTACATTTCCTACTTCGCCCACTGAAGATAGTCATGAAGTTGAAAAGCACAAAGCACTGAAACTAAAGATAAAACTTGCTTCAACAATAGGAAATGCGACACATTTGTAAGCCACTGTCCAGTATTGCTATGCTGTGTGCAGTGTTGGTATCCCATGTGATACGTTAATGAAGTGTGCGCAGGGTTTGTCTGCTGTATGCAGCGTTGCTCAGCCTTGTACATAGTTGCTCAGCTGTGTACATGGTTGCTCAGTTGTGTACAGGGTTGCTCAGCTGTGTACAGGGTTGCTCAGCTGTGTACAGGGTTGCTCAGCTGTGTACAGGGTTGCTCAGCTGTGTCCAGGGTTGCTCAGCTGTGTACAGGGTTGCTCAGCTGTGTACAGGGTTGCTCAGCTGTGTACAGGGTTGCTCAGCTGTGTCCAGGGTTGCTCAGCTGTGTCCAGGGTTGCTCAGCTGTGTCCAGGGTTGCTCAGCTGTGTCCAGGGTTGCTCAGCTGTGTACATAGTTGCTCAGCTGTGTCCAGGGTTGCTCAGCTGTGTCCAAGGTTGCTCAGCTGTGTCCAGGGTTGCTCAGCTGTGTACATGGTTGCTCTGTGCTGTGCAGTGTTGTGGACAATATCACTGTGCTTGTGGACACACACACGGTTCAAGCAACAGAGCAACATTGTACACAACAAAGCCTCACTGTAAAGAGCAGAGCCACACGGTTGACAGCAAAGCAACACTTTTAAAGTCTTTACACAGCAAGGAGATGCTATGCAAGACAGAGCAACACTGCACGCAGCAGAGCGACAGTATACATGACAGAGCAATGCTGCACTCGGCAGATGATCCTACATTCAGCACAGATGTGCAAACAGCTGAGCAACACTACTGCCATGTAAGGAGATTGTGGCCATTGGACATAGCAGACTAATTCTTGATACAGCAGAGCAAACGTTACTAACTGAGACACAGCAGAGCAACAATAGAGACTGCAGGGTGATACTGGACCCATGCAGCAGAGCAACCCTGTACCCATGCAGCAGTGCGACCCTGGACCCATGCAGCAGTGCAACCCTGTAATAAAGCCAAACAACAACAACAAACAGCAGAGCAACCCTGGGAACGGAAGAGCAACCCTGAGAACAGCAGAGCAACCCTCGGAACGGCAGAGCAACCCTGGGAACAGCAGTGCAACTCTGAGAACAGCAGAGCAACCTTGGGAACAGCACAGCAATCCTGGGAACAGCAGAGCAACCCTGGGAACAGCAGAGCAACCCTGAGAACAGCAGAGCAATCCTCGGAACAGCAGAGCAACCCTGGGAACAGCGGAGCAACCCTGGGAACAGCAGTGCAACCCTGGGAACAGCAGGTCAAACCTGGGAACAGCAGACCAACCCTGGGAACAGCAGTGCAACCCTGGGAACAGCAGAGCAACCCTGGGAACAGCAGAGCAACCCTGGAAACAGCAGAGAAACCCCGGGAATAGCAGAGAAACCCCGGGAACAGCGGTGCAACCCTGGGAACAGCAGTGCAACCTTGGGAACAGCACAGCAACCATGGGAACAGCAGAGCAACCCCGGGAATAGCAAAGCAACCCTGGGAACAGCGGAGCAACCCTGGGAACAGCAGTGCAACCCTGGGAACAGCAGTGCAACCCTGGGAACAGCAGTGCAACCCCGGGAACAGCAGAGCAACCCTGGGAACAGCAGGTCAACTCTGGGAACAGCAGAGAAACCCTGGGAACAGCAGGTCAACCCTGGGAACAGCAGAGAAACCCTGGGAACAGCAGAGCAACCCTGGGAACGGCAGTGCAACCCTGGGAACAGCAAGTCAACTCTGGAAACAGCAGTGCAACCCTGGGAACGGCAGTGCAACTCTGGGAACGGCAGTGCAACCCTGGGAACGGCAGTGCAACCCTGGGAACAGCAGTGCAACCCTGAGAACAGCAGTGCAACCCTGAGAACAGCAGTGCAACCCTGGGAACAGCAGTGCAACCCTGGGAACAGCAGTGCAACCCTGAGAACAGCAGTGCAACCCTGGGAACAGCAGAGCAACGCTGGGAACGGCAGAGCAACCCTGGGAACGATAGAGCAATCCTTGTGATAGCCGAGCATTACAGTACACGTGAGTAGTTCCGCTTTGCTAGCTGCTGCAGTGTTGCGCTGACCTGTTAGGTGTTGCTCCGATGTTCACTGCTTTGGTGTGAACAGTGCTGCTTTGGTGTGAACAGTGGTGCTTTGGTGTGAACAGTGTTGCTTTGGTGTGAACAGTGGTGCTTTGGTGTGAACAGTGTTGCTTTGGTGTGAACAGTGGTGCTTTGGTGTGAACAGTGTTGCTTTGGTGTGAACAGTGGTGCTTTGGTGTGAACAGTGGTGCTTTGGTGTGAACAGTGGTGCTTTGGTGTGAACAGTGGTGCTTTGGTGTGAACAGTGGTGCTTTGGTGTGAACAGTGGTGCTTTGGTGTGAACAGTGGTGCTTTAGTGTGAACAGTGGTGCTCTAGTGTCTGCAGTGTCGCTCTAATTTGTGCAGCGTTTCCTACAGTCCGTTTCAAAGAGATTTACAATCAGGTTTTGGTCTTAAAAAGTATGAAGATAAGGGAAATTTGGACAACAAAGTACATAAAAGGGCTTGTTACGGCACGGCAAATTGTTCTGTGAAGGTTTCGGAACAATCGGACCAGCGGTTAAGGAGTTAGAATTTCGGCCAGGTTTCGGGCCTTTTCCCATGGTTAACAATTTGCCCTGGAAGCCAGTATCGATTTTTTATCAAAATCCACGATTTATCTTTTCCTTTTTGGCCTTGTGGTTATGAATGCTGTCTGCTGACCATGAAGTTGTGAGTTCAAATCCCAACCTATCTTCAAGTCAAACTTTTCTTTCATTGTTTTGGTGATCAAGCTGGTGCAAGACAAAGCCTTGAAGGTGGCTGCACCAAACGACTTGTTGGAGCTCGCGCTTCCTGCCGAACTGACTGGCACTTCACTGGCTCACGCCATGTGAACACACCCACAACACTGAAACGGTGTGAGTGAATACGGAAGTCATCGCGCTCTAGCCACATGTATTAGTAAGTACGTGTTGCACATCGCCATCGATCGATTTCTTTTTGAGAATTATTTTAGTATTTCAAGATCGCCAATTTATTTGAATTTATTTAGCAGTCAACGCCGTCTTCTATCAGCTTTCACAGGCGTCTGCTTTTCTCAAAATGTTGTCGAAGTCACACAGATAGCTTTGCCAAGCTTTGGGAATGAGTCTATGTCGATGTCGTTTTCATCACATGGTGAGAGTAAATCATCGCATCGCAGCTCAAAGAAACGATTTGGTGACCCATGCCGCTCGTCAACATTTAGTACACTTTCGACACGTCCTCTCTGACTCCATATCGATACGAGGAAGAACTCGTTTGTTGTAAACCAGAGTATCGACATTAGTGAGTTGTCATTTTTCGTGCTTTCGCGCGGAATATTTCTTCGAGTTCACAGTGAGTTTTTCCAGGCAGCGCTCGAGCGCTCATACGGTAAGACGGCAAACTCCCCAGCGCAATCACCAGGATTGTAAATCTTTTTGAAACGGACTGTAGCTACAACCCAGCGTTGATATGTGTGCGTACGTGTGTGTGTGTGTGTGCGCGCGTGTGCATGCTTGTGTGTGTGTGTATGTGTGTGTGCGTGTTTCTGCGTGTGGGTGTGGTGTGTGGGTGTGTGGGTGCATGCGCACGTGTGTGTGTATGTGTGTGTGTGTGTGTGTGTGTGTGTGTGTGTGTGTGTGCGTTTGTGCGTGTGTGCGGGTGTGGGTGTGTGGGTGTGTGGGTGTGGGTATTGTTTTCTCTGTCTTAATCAGCCTTGCTCACCTGAGTTATGCGTTGCTGCTCAGAGTAATCAGTTCCATTTTGCTTGAAAACATGCGGCGAATGAAGAAAAACTGCACATAGCATAGCAGCAGCACACACAATAACACCACACTTCAGAAAGCATAGGAATGAAGTCCAGAAATTCTCACAGGAGAGCAACACTCACAAGGAAGCAATATTGTGAAAAGCAGAGCTGCTCAATCAATCCAGAGCAACATTGAACATATGTATAATGCCGCCACCTTGCGCAGTGTTCCGCTTCAATCTGGTGTGTTCTGCGCTTTTTGCTCTGGCGTGTTCCGCGTCACTCTGGTGTGTTCTGCGCTTTTTGCTCTGGCGTGTTCCGCGTCACTCTGGTGTGTTCTGCGCTTTTTGTTCTGGTGTGTTCCGCGTCACTCTGGTGTGTTCTGCGCTTTTTGTTCTGCGCTTTTTGTTCTGGTGTGTGCAGTTACTGTGTGTGCAGTTACTGTGTGTGCAGTTACTGTGTGTGCAGTTACTGTGTGTGCAGTTACTGTGTGTGCAGTTACTGTGTGTGCAGTTACTGTGTGTGCAGTTACTGTGTGTGCAGTTACTGTGTGTGCAGTTACTGTGTGTTCAGTTACTGTGTGTGCAGTTCTGGTGTGTGCAGTTACTGTGTGTTCAGTTACTGTGTGTGCAGTTCTGGTGTGTGCAGTATGGTTATTCTTCTTAGTGCTTCGTTGCTCTGGTGTTTGGGCTGTTGACGTGCCATGCACAGAGCCGCTTTGCTGGGTCGAAAATGTTGTTCTGGCCTGTTAACAGTGTTCTGTTGATGTTCACACAAAACTGCAAGCAGCATAGCAACACTGTACACAGCATAGCAACACTGTACACAGCATAGCAACACTGTACACAGCATAGCAACACTGTACACAGCATAGCAACACCGTACACAGCATAGCAACACTGTACACAGCATAGCAACACTGTACACAGCATAGCAACACCGTACACAGCATAGCAACACTGCACACAGCATAGCAACACTGCACACAGCATAGCAACACTGTACACAGCATAGCAACACTGTACACAGCATAGCAACACTGTACACAGCATAGCAACACTGTACACAGCATAGCAACACTGTACACAGCATAGCAACACTGTACACAGCATAGCAACACCGTACACAGCATAGCAACACTGTACACAGCATAGCAACACTGCACACAGCATAGCAACACTGTACACAGCATAGCAACACCGTACACAGCATAGCAACACCGTACACAGCATAGCAACACTGCACACAGCATAGCAACACCAAGAATACATGAAAAGCAGAGTGTGCAGCTGGGATGGGTTCAACCGTTGCTGTCACGGAGGAATTCCGTCATAACAACATTTTAGTGATGTAGTAGTCATGGTAGTGGGTACAAGCAGGATTCAAGCAGGTACTAGGTCTCTTTCTGCACAACTGCAGCTCAGTTGTACGCACTATGCCATTTCCCGTCGCAGATCTGCACCAAATATGATGTAATTACGGAATTCCGCCGTGACAGACACCCAACCTAGGCCATAGTAGAAAAAGCCCCAAGCTGCACACTCTGGTTTTCATGTACTCTTGGCAACCCTGTACAAAGCATAGCAACACCGTACACAGCATAGCATCAAACCCCACACTGCACACACATCTGCATCAAACTGAAGAGCAATAGTACTGCCATTTGTTGAGATTGCGTGCATTGGACACAGCATAACAACATTGAACACAACATAACAACATTGGACACGACATAGTAGCATTGAACATAACATTGTAGCATTGAACACAACATTGTAGCATTGGACAGAGCAGAGCAATGCTAGACATGGCAAGAAACGCTAGACACAGCAAGAAACACCAGACAGGCAAGAAACGGGCACAGACTATAGCACATCACAGCAACACTAGACACAGCAGAGTAATACTAGACACAGCAGAGCAATACTGTACACGTGTGTGGTGTTGCTTTGCTGTGTGATCTACTATGTGCAGTGTGCAGTGTTGCTCTGACGTGCCCTTGCTTTGGTGTGTGCAGTGTCACTCATGTGTGGGGAGTCACTCATGTGTGGGAAGTCACTCATGTGTGGGGAGTCACTCATGTGTGCAGTGTCACTCATGTGTGCAGTGTCACTCATGGTACATGGTGTGTGTGTGTGGGGGGGGGGGGGGGATAAAAATGAAAAGGACCAAAAAATAGGGATTCACTTGCCAGAAAAGGCCACTTAATAGCTGTGTGGTGTAGACCAGGCTGAATAGTGGCGGACAACTCTTCAGCCTTGCAAGCTGTTGAATGGTGCAATCCCAGCACAAGTTGCTATGGCTTCTGCTGTAGCATCGCCATCACCGCCTCCCGGGATGGGTGTCAAATGGTCAATTGCGTGTGTGTGTACTGTATATATATATAATATGTGTGTGCGCGCGCGTGCGTGTGTGTGTGTGTGTGTGCGTGTGTGTATGTGTGTGTGTGTGTGGCTGTGTGTAGTTTTTCTCTGTCAAGACCAGTGTGGCTTACCCGAGCACTGGGTTGCACAGTGTTATTTGCAGTCCGGGTTTGCTTGACAAATGGGCAAGAAAAGCCACACACAGCATAGGAACACCACACACAATAGGAGCACACTCAGGAAAGAGTAGGATGGAAGACCCTAATTAAACATCTTACAGGATAGCTACATTCAGTAGCAATGCAATATCGCACAAAGTGGGGATGCTACAGTTAAGGCAACATTGGACAAGTGTAGTGGTCTAACGGGTAGCCAATAACCCGCTCCCTAGATGACTGACCTGATGCAAACATAGTGCTTCGCTCACCGGTATGCTTACGCCATGTACATAACACAACTGACGTGGTAACACTTGCAAAACATTGGCAGGTAGGTGAACAACACAACTGACATGGTAACACTTGCACAACATTGGCAGGTAGATGAACAACACAACTGACGTGGTACCACTTGCACAACATTGGCAGGTAGGTGAACAACACAGACGTGGTAACACTTGCACAACATTGGCAGGTAGATGAACAACAACACTTGCACAACATTGGCAGGTAGGTGAACAACACAACTGACGTGGTAACACTTGCACAACATTGGCAGGTAGGTGAGCAACACAACTGACGTGGTAACACTTGCACAACATTGGCAGGTAGGTGAGCAACACAACTGACGTGGTAACACTTGCACAACATTGGCAGGTAGGTGAGCAACAGAACTGAGCCATACAAGACTCTCATACCATGTACTTGTACGTGTATGTCCTAAGATCAAACCAGCTTGCCTTCATAATCCTAGCAATGTATACACCTGTACCAGTACCTGGTATTGACAAGGTCTGTTGGCTGCTCCAAAGTGAAGTTGTTCAGACGTCTTGATGCTGGCAATATCTTGCTTTTATCAGTGAGGCTGCGCAGGAGTGCTGAGGGCAACACACCCAAAAGGAGCAATCACGGCACGCTCACAACTTGTGCTCATGGTTCCAATATCAACCAGTACAGCAGCACAGCAGCACAACAACCAATACCAACCAGTACAGCCTTACAGCAGCACAACAACCAATACCAACCAACACAGCCTTACAGCAGCACAACAACCAATACCAACCAGCACAGCCTTACAGCAGCACAACAACCAATACCAAAAAGCACAGCAGCACAACAACCAATACCAACCAGTACAGCAGCACAACAACCAATACCAACCAGTACAGCCTTACAGCAGCACAACCACCAATACCAACCAGCACAGCCTTACAGCAGCACAACAACCAATACCAACCAGCACAGCAGTACATTAGCACAACAACCAATACCAACCAGTACAGCCATACAGCAGCACAACAACCAACACCAACCAGTACAGCAGTACAGCAGCACAACAACAAATACCAACCAGCACAGCCTTACAGCAACACAACAACTGATACCAACCAGTACAGCAGCACAACAACCAATATCAACCAGTACAATCGAACAACAACCAATACCAACCAGCACAGCCGTACAGCAGCACAACAACCAATACCAACCAGCACAACAGTATAGCAGCAAAAAATCCAATATCAACCAGTACAGCGGTCCAGCAGCCCAACAACCAGTACCAACCAGCACAGCAGTACAGCAGCACAACAACCAATACCAACCAGTACAGCAGTATAGCAGCAAAACATCCAATACCACCCAGTACAGCAGTACAGCAGCCCAACAACCAATACCAACCAGCACAGCCTTACAGCAGCACAACAACCAATACCAACGAGTACAGCAGCACAGCAGCACAACAACCAATACCAACCAGTACAGCAGTATAGCAGCAAAACATCCAATACCACCCAGTACAGCAGTACAGCAGCCCAACAACCAATACCAACCAGCACAGCCTTACAGCAGCACAACAACCAATACCAACGAGTACAGCAGCACAGCAGCACAACAACCAATACCAACCAGCACAGCGTTACAGCAGCAAAACATCCAACACCAACCAGTACAGCAGTACAGCAGCCCAACAACCAATACCAACCAGTACAGCAGTACAGCAGCAAAACATCCAATACCAACCAGCACAGCCTTACAGCAGCAAAACATCCAATACCAACCAACACAGCCTTACAGCAGCACAACAACCAATACCAACCAACACAGCCTTACAGCAGCACAACAACCAATACCAACCAGCACAGCCTTACAGCAGCACAACAACCAATACCAACCAGTACAGCCTTACAGCAGCACAACAACTAATACCAACCAGCACAGCCTTACAGCAGCACAACAACCAATACCAACCAGTACAGCAGCACAACAACCAATACCAACCAGCACAGTGGTACAGCAGCACAACAACCAATATCAACCAGTACAATCGAACAACAACCAATACCAACCAGCACAGGGGTACAGCAGCACAACAACCAATACCAACCAGCACAACAGTATAGCAGCAAAACATCCAATATCAACCAGTACAGCGGTACAGCAGCCCAACAACCAGTACCAACCAGCACAGCAGTACAGCAGCCCAACAACCAATACCAACCAACACAGCAGTATAGCAGCAAAACATCCAATACCAACCAGTACAGCAGTACAGCAGCCCAACAACCAATACCAACCAGTACAGCAGCCCAACAACCAATACCAACCAGCAGCACAACAACCAATACCAACCAGCACAGCCTTACAGCAGCACAACAACCAATACCAACCAGTACAGCAGCACAGCAGCACAACAACCAATACCAACCAGCACAGCAGTACAGCAGCAAAACATCCAACACCAACCAGTACAGCAGTACAGCAGCCCAACAACCATTACCAACCAGTACAGCAGTACAGCAGCAAAACATCCAATACCAACCAGCACAGCCTTACAGCAGCACAACAACCAATACCAACCAGTACAGCAGCACAGCAGCACAACAACCAATACCAACCAGCACAGCAGTACAGCAGCAAAACATCCAACACCAACCAGTACAGCAGTACAGCAGCCCAACAACCAATACCAACCAGTACAGCAGTACAGCAGCAAAACATCCAATAACAACCAGCACAGCTTTACAGCAGCAATACATCCAATACCAACCAGCACAGCCTTACAGCAGCACAACAACTAATACCCACCAGCACAGCAGTACAGCAGCCCAACAACCAATACCAACCAGCACAGCCTTACAGCAGCACAACAACCAATACCAACCAGTGCAGCAGTACAGCAGCACAACAACCAATACCAACCAGCACTGCAGTACATCAGCACAACAACCAATACCAACCAGCACTGCAGTACAGCAGCACAACAACCAATACTAACCAGTACAGCCGTACAGCAGCACAACATCCATTACCAACCAGTACAGCAGTACAGCAGCACAACAACCAATACCAACCAGTACAGCAGTACAGCAGCCCAACAACCAATACCTACCAGTACAGGAGTACAGCAGCCCAACAACCAATACCAACCAGCACAGCCTTACAGCAGCCCAACAACCAATACCAACCAGTACAGCAGTACAGCGGCACAACAACCAATACCAACCAGCACAGCCTTACAGCAGCACAACAACCAATACCAACCAGCACAGCAGTACAGCAGCCCAACAACTAATACCAACCAGCAGAGCAGTACAGCAGCAAAACATCCAATATCAACCAGTACAGCAGTACAGCAGCCCAACAACCAATACCAACCAGCACAGCAGTACAGCAGCCCAACAACCAATACCCACCAGTATAGCAGCCCAACAACCAATACCAACCAGTACAGCAGTACAGCAGCCCAACAACCAATACCAACCAGCACAGCCTTACTGCAGTACAACAACCAATACCAACCAGCACAGCCTTTTAGCAGAAAAACATCCAATACCAACCAGCACAGCCTTACAGCAGCACAACAACCAATACCAACCAACACAGCCTTACAGCAGCACAACAACCAATACCAACCAGCACAGCCTTACAGCAGCACAACAACCAATACCAACCAGTACAGCCTTACAGCAGCACAACAACCAATACCAACCAGCACAGCCTTACAGCAGCACAACAACCAATACCAACCAGCACAGCAGTACATTAGCACAACAACCAATACCAACCAGTACAGCCATACAGCAGCACAACAACCAATACCAACCAGCACAGTGGTACAGCAGCACAACAACCAATATCAACCAGTACAATCGAACAACAACCAATACCAACCAGCACAGGGGTACAGCAGCACAACAACCAATACCAACCAGCACAACAGTATAGCAGCAAAACATCCAATATCAACCAGTACAGCGGTACAGCAGCCCAACAACCAGTACCAACCAGCACAGCAGTACAGCAGCCCAACAACCAATACCAACCAACACAGCAGTATAGCAGCAAAACATCCAATACCAACCAGTACAGCAGTACAGCAGCACATCAACCAATACCAACCAGGACAGCAGTACAGCAGCCCAACAACCAATACCAACCAGTACAGCAGCCCAACAACCAATACCAACCAGCAGCACAACAACCAATACCAACCAGCACAGCCTTACAGCAGCACAACAACCAATACCAACCAGTACAGCAGCACAGCAGCACAACAACCAATACCAACCAGCACAGCAGTACAGCAGCAAAACATCCAACACCAACCAGTACAGCAGTACAGCAGCCCAACAACCATTACCAACCAGTACAGCAGTACAGCAGCAAAACATCCAATACCAACCAGCACAGCCTTACAGCAGCACAACAACCAATACCAACCAGTACAGCAGCACAGCAGCACAACAACCAATACCAACCAGCACAGCAGTACAGCAGCAAAACATCCAACACCAACCAGTACAGCAGTACAGCAGCCCAACAACCAATACCAACCAGTACAGCAGTACAGCAGCAAAACATCCAATAACAACCAGCACAGCTTTACAGCAGCAATACATCCAATACCAACCAGCACAGCCTTACAGCAGCACAACAACTAATACCCACCAGCACAGCAGTACAGCAGCCCAACAACCAATACCAACCAGCACAGCCTTACAGCAGCACAACAACCAATACCAACCAGTGCAGCAGTACAGCAGCACAACAACCAATACCAACCAGCACTGCAGTACATCAGCACAACAACCAATACCAACCAGCACTGCAGTACAGCAGCACAACAACCAATACTAACCAGTACAGCCGTACAGCAGCACAACATCCATTACCAACCAGTACAGCAGTACAGCAGCACAACAACCAATACCAACCAGTACAGCAGTACAGCAGCCCAACAACCAATACCTACCAGTACAGGAGTACAGCAGCCCAACAACCAATACCAACCAGCACAGCCTTACAGCAGCCCAACAACCAATACCAACCAGTACAGCAGTACAGCGGCACAACAACCAATACCAACCAGCACAGCCTTACAGCAGCACAACAACCAATACCAACCAGCACAGCAGTACAGCAGCCCAACAACTAATACCAACCAGCAGAGCAGTACAGCAGCAAAACATCCAATATCAACCAGTACAGCAGTACAGCAGCCCAACAACCAATACCAACCAGCACAGCAGTACAGCAGCCCAACAACCAATACCCACCAGTATAGCAGCCCAACAACCAATACCAACCAGTACAGCAGTACAGCAGCCCAACAACCAATACCAACCAGCACAGCCTTACTGCAGTACAACAACCAATACCAACCAGCACAGCCTTTTAGCAGAAAAACATCCAATACCAACCAGCACAGCCTTACAGCAGCACAACAACCAATACCAACCAACACAGCCTTACAGCAGCACAACAACCAATACCAACCAGCACAGCCTTACAGCAGCACAACAACCAATACCAACCAGTACAGCCTTACAGCAGCACAACAACCAATACCAACCAGCACAGCCTTACAGCAGCACAACAA